CTCTCTCTCTCTCTCTCTCTCTCTCTCTCTCTCTCTCTCTCTCTCTCTCTCTTGAATTTAATATATTTTTATATAGAGATCGAAACAAATGTTTTATTTTGATTATTAATGTAAAGTAAATCGCGTATAAATTGATGATAAAAATGTAATTCAATAGAAATTGTACATTAATTTTTATACGAGATGTGCAAACATTACTGTTTTACTCAATTTTTAACAAAATTTAAAACGTTTTATAATGATTTTTAATTTATATTTTTATGATCTGTATTTCATTACCTGTTATTTGAAATAAACATTATTATTATTATTAACAGTAAATCTCACAATAGGGACAGCAATTGTCGCAAAATTATAAAAATGTTTGCAAGACTTATAAATAATTATGTCTTTACATAAGAATATTATTTAAGAATTTTAAACTATAAGTAAAACTATAAATAAAATACAGGCGGAACGAGGGGGCAGAACGATTCTATAAACTACATTATTCATATTGAATTGTGGTTAATAATAGTAATTCACAACTCAATGAATATATCAGCCAATTCTTCGTCGGTTTCTTCAATCATTGGTAATTGTGTGACATATTCTGGGAATAAATGTTAATACATATTGAAATAACAGAATGTGTTAAATACCATGATACTGTAATAACTAAGTTGGCAAACTTGTTATAATCAATTATGTGTAGTCGATTACAAATGGTTTGAAATGCCAATTCAATATCTCTCTCTCTCTCTCTCTCTCTCTTGAATTTAATATATTTTTATATAGAGATCGAAACAAATGTTTTATTTTGATTATTAATGTAAAGTAAATCGCGTATAAATTGATGATAAAAATGTAATTCAATAGAAATTGTACATTAATTTTTATACGAGATGTGCAAACATTACTGTTTTACTCAATTTTTAACAAAATTTAAAACGTTTTATAATGATTTTTAATTTATATTTTTATGATCTGTATTTCATTACCTGTTATTTGAAATAAACATTATTATTATTATTAACAGTAAATCTCACAATAGGGACAGCAATTGTCGCAAAATTATAAAAATGTTTGCAAGACTTATAAATAATTATGTCTTTACATAAGAATATTATTTAAGAATTTTAAACTATAAGTAAAACTATAAATAAAATACAGGCGGAACGAGGGGGCAGAACGATTCTATAAACTACATTATTCATATTGAATTGTGGTTAATAATAGTAATTCACAACTCAATGAATATATCAGCCAATTCTTCGTCGGTTTCTTCAATCATTGGTAATTGTGTGACATATTCTGGGAATAAATGTTAATACATATTGAAATAACAGAATGTGTTAAATACCATGATACTGTAATAACTAAGTTGGCAAACTTGTTATAATCAATTATGTGTAGTCGATTACAAATGGTTTGAAATGCCAATTCAATAGCTCTCTCTCTCTCTCTCTCTCTCTCTCTCTCTCTCTCTCGAATTTAATATATTTGTATATAAAGATTGAAATACATATTTTATTTTGATTATTAATATACAGAAAATCGCTTATAAATAGATGATAAAAGTGTAATCCAATAGAAATAATTGAATGCTTTTATATAATTTTAAATATAATTTCATGCAATTAAAGTGAAGTCGACAATTAATTATAGCTAACATTTGCTAATTTATCTCAATTGTTGATCAATCAAAATACTAGTCAAAAATTATAAAATTATTTCATCCAATTGTCAGTCCATATGAAAGTATCGTTCGTTCAAAAGTCAAAATTTTATGAAAAATTATTTTATAAGAAATAAATGTCTTAAGTATTGAAGTAATAATTCGTATAATTTATTTATTAAGCCATCAATTGTTTTGTTGATTCTGTTATTTCTCTCAATAAGTTATTTCTAAATCATATTCTTATACTAATAATACTATTATTTGAATTTAGTTTTCATATAAATAAAATTTTCAGCATATTTTTATGATATAATTTGAGTGTTTATTATCACTGTTTAACATAATTAATATGGCATTCAATTTTGCGACAAATGTCTAATACATTAAGAAACTTAATTCACTTATGGTTTTGATTTATATATCAATTTCCACAACCGATTCACTTATCTATTATTTTTGACACAAATATTTCGTTCAATTTAAGTAAATTATTTACTATTATTATTATTATGGATAATATTTACTCATTAATCCAGACAATGGTTTGACACAACACTTATATTAAATCTAAATATAATTTTTTATACGAGATGTGCGATCATTAAAAGTAAATCTCATGACAGGGACAGGAATTGTTGCAAAAATCATACAAATGTTTGGTATGTCTTATAAATAATGATTGGTTTAAATTTAAACAATTTTTGTTAAATTCACAAAATTTGAAAAAAGTTGACATTTATGTTAAAAATTCCAAGAATTGTATAACAATTTTGCCGATTATAATAAGACTACAATTTCTGTCGCACATCCTTTACAGACATGTTTTGTTTATAGTGATAGACAATTACAGTAAATAGTTATAGAAAAAGCATCAATGTAGTTTAGAATGTAACTTGTAATTTTGTAATAATCATAATTATATATTCATTGAAAAAATGCTTTACAATATTAATAATATATTTATATATAAATGCAATTAAAAATTAAATGAATTAATGACTAGAAATTTCTTTACATTTAATTAAATAATTAATTTAAATAAAGACTTCGGTTTCAAAGTATTGCCTCCAAGAAAGCAGTGTCTCATTTGCATACGGATTGGACGGCACAGGGCTTTCAGGAGTGGCCAGAGTTTTGCTGAGACAACACATACTCCCGGCAATCGGCGGCCGAAAGTGTGTATCAATTATAATCATTACTATCGTCGACGACGTGTCTCTTCTGCCTGTCCTCAGGACTGGTGGTCTCAATGCAGAGCACAATAAACTGGTTATTACACGAGTACTTCTCCTGATCGAGGAGTTTGCCCCTAAGTAGAGAGCTGGCCAAACCGACCTTGCTCATGTTGTTGCTGTTCCAGGCGTCGCAGTAGGCCTCGCTATTGCGGACCCCGGACCGGTCGGCCCCGTGCCACACCAACTTCTGGGGCCTATTATGACAATGTGTATCCAATCAGATATCAATTTTGTTTATATCATGTGTTGTGTTGACACATACCAGGAATAATCAGACAACACATTCCTGCCGTCAAAGCTATAAATTTTGGGCGGGAATGGGAAGGGAGCCCCGGCTCCTGTAAATAAGTCCTTCCACGAATTGAACAATATTTCACCCTAATCGACCAATTATAACATTTCAAAAATAGTTTAAATAGTTTGTTATTATATTTATCTTAAAAATAGGGTTTACCTTAATGTTAACAATCGGTAGCTTAGAGTCTTTGTAGCGCACAATTGAGTCCAAGTTTTGCACTTTTGAGGCGACAAACGCCCGGAAAGTGCCCCTCATATTAGCCCTACGAGACTGTCGATAGCACTCGTAGTCAGCGCCGCGTATGCCGTGAAAGTCACCCGAAAACGGTGTGTTGAGTGCAGCCATCCTTAGCTAATGGTTTGCCGTCATATTAAAAAAAATTAATTTAATTAAAATTATTTGAGTTTAATTTAGATATTGTTGTAATAAAATTAGTTCCCAATAACTCGATGTATACATACAAATACCTTTCTATGGCTGTGATGCTTGTAATGTAAATATATATATTTATATAATTTATTTAATTAACAATTAGTTAGTTTGTGTGCAATGCGGGCAACACTTACTCGAAACGATGTCTTTTCGGCCAAATTGGTTTCGAGGCCCGGATGTACGACAGGGGCTGTAGTCGTCGCCTCTGTCTACTCATTGCCATTGCAAACAATTATACAATTAGTTTTGATTTATGAAAATAGTGTTAAGTTAACACTAACTGTTATCTCGTTCAGTTCCGATGCTTGCGGTGTTTGAACCAAAGATCCTAACTATTTGTTTAGTAAAATTAAATTTTAAATGTTGTTATTATAACCCTTCAAAGCCCCTCCCTCTGTGCCAAACTGACCGACACGTATTGCCAGCCGCCGTTCACTTTAATGAGTAGCGACTGGTCGTCGATAATGAAGGCCAGAGTTCCCAACGGATTGTTGGCCGATATCTTCAACAGTGAGTCCATGTTTTTAAACGTAACCGCCTTTCAAATGAAACGTGAATTATTAAGTGATTATCATTTGGCGTTTAATTAAGTCACTCATATAATGTCTTACGCCGGGAACTATTAAGTGATTGGCAGTTGATGTGGTGGCTGTGTGTCCCGCATCACCTTTATCTCCGGGTGGTCCGGGAGGACCGGGTGGGCCGTCAACGTAGACTATAGACATGGGTTTACAGTTAGTTTAATTGTTTGTATTGTTAATTATGTAACGGAAATACCTGTTTGTCTCGACAGCGATGCCGTGCCTTTAATCCCTCGATAGGCTGTCATTAAATTTATTAACAATTTATTAAAAGTTTTTTATATTTAATAATAAGTGACTTAAAAATGTATTTTTAATATTTATAATGAATAATCAATTAAAAAGGCAGACCTCTTGAGGCACTAATGCTGTTGTCGTACCAATCGATTGGCGATTCTCCAGGAGGACCGGGTGGACCCGGAAGGCCGGGAACTCCTGGTGTTCCCGGGACTCCCATCGCACCACGGTCACCCTTTGGACCGGCAATACCCTGATAATATTGATTTATTAAATTAGATAAATATTAAATATTCTGAATTCAGAATACGATAAAATATAAAACCCACCGGAAATCCAATCTCTCCGGGAGGCCCGAGTGGTCCGGGCGGACCCGGGAAACCATCTTTGCCTTTTTTGCCGCGCAAACCTCTGTGGCCTTTTGGGCCCAAATCGCCCTTTAATTGAAACCACATTTTGTTTTGAATAAACAATTTATAAGTTACCAAAAATGTCATACTCTGTCGCCTTTAAGTCCTGGTAGACCGCGAGGACCGGGCGAACCCGGGTCTCCCATTCGGGGTAAATACGCGAATGAAGAGCCGGTGCCGGGAGAACCGAAATATCCCGGAGACATATCTGACTGATTAGCGGAAACAATGGGTTAAATAATTTGTGCAAATATTGGGGATAAACGAGTGCTTACATCAAATGTAGAGCCCCTTCCCGGCGGACCTATTAATATAATAATATTATTAATTTATATATATTTGGATGAGTTTTACAAACCTGGAGGACCTGGAGGTCCGACGGGTCCGACATCTCCTTTGGGACCCTTAATCTGGTGGCTGGATATGATCTCCGATACATTACAAGCGCATTGGTTTACGACCGGAGCCGATGTCTGTGTCTCGTATATGGTTTGAATGGTTTCCCTGTACTCACACTCGCCCTGATATTCAAATTATTTATTAATTTTAATATGACTTACTTTGATTATACAAACCTTTTGGCCCCTCTCTCCTCGCTCTCCCGTCTCTCCAGTCTCTCCTCTGTCCCCTCTCTCGCCTTTCTCTCCTTTAATTGTGATATAATTTGGTTCCGGAATTGGCGGCAATTTAACCTAAATTGTATTTGTATTTTGTGTTAAAATGTTAAATGTATTATAACTTAATAAAAATTTTGTTTTTATCAATTTTTCATTGAATTTTATTTTTTGTTTGTTTTATATGATATGTGAAAGATATTAGAATAAGTATTTTAATATTTTAATCACATTTTTAATAAAATATAAATAAATGTAAATTTATTTTATATAACTTGTCACTCGACTGTCTGTGTGTTGTGTACGTGAAGACTCCCGGAGTATATTAATTGCATTTGTAAGTGGATTTGCATTTTCGATCACATATACCCGATATTTATAGATTATACTGTATTTCTATAGTATTATTATTCGTGACTTGTTTTGACCACCAATGAAATGAAATGTCATTTTTATTAATTGAATATTTTGTAATTTTGTAATTTTTGTTGTGTTTTAATGTTAAGTAATAATTTATAAATGTTTTCAAACAGTTTCGGTTGGTTTTTTTACGAATCCAATCAATTTATATCAAGTGATCAGATTTATAATCAAGATTATGTTATTATGCCTTTAGATCATGTCATTTCTATTTTTAATTATATTAGTCTTAATGTTATCTGTATTTCCTTTTAAACTATTTATTTCGAGAAAAATAATAAAATTAAAATTTATGAATGCGTTAAACAGTGTATTAAATTAATGTATTGAAAACTTTTTTAAAAATACTTAAACTATTCAAACAATGTATTATATCTTATACTCACTTCATGTTTAGTTTGTTCGCCAATCGAGCCTTTAATGCGATAAATAAAAAGAGATAATAAAAAAGTTTTAGTCGATTACAAATCGTTTGAAATTCAAATTCAATAGCTCTCTCTCTCTCTCTCTCTCTCTCTCTCTCTCTCACTCACTATCTTTTTTCAAAAGCCTTGAATTAATTCGTAAATAAATTATTTTTATTAGTTTTGTGACAAAAGTATAACTGTTTTCCTCGATTTTTATATACACTGAATAGTATCTCATTAAATAGAAAAAGGTTTTAAAACTTATGCTTTTAATTAGAAAATACTGAATAAAATGTCTATTATTTGTGTCTTTTTTGAAAATTATGGTAACCTTTAGAGAGTTGATGAATGAGAGGGATAGGCGTGTAACGGGTGGTCGGGTATAATAGGATATGGTCTTACGTTTACATACAGTATTGTAGTAGTAATTGTAATCGTAAAATAAAATTAAATTTGTTTTTTGAACTTAATTTATTGTCAATTTATAAAATTGATCATGATAGAGACCTTGGTCAGTTTGAGATTTGGTATCATCATTATTGTTGAGATCGGGAATGATTTGTTCGTTTGGGTCCAATATATTCACTGCAGTCGAGTACTGAAAACACATTTTTATTATTTTATATTTGAATATTTAAAATTTAATGTTTTTAGTTTAATATACAAAGTTATCATGTTTTAAATACAGTATATGTAAATATAAAATGTTATATTTAAAACAAACCTTTGGTTGGTTTGGTTCGCCATTAAGAGTGTCTTCATAATAATCACCGCTTCCGAGCTCTTGAGATGGCTATTAAATGATATGATTTTTAT